GGCGGGCGGGCGGACACGGATCCTGCCGTGGGCACAGCCTCCGGGAACAGCTCCAGTGTCCGGGCTTCTCCGCGTCCTGCCCAGGCCTGCGCGCCGGGCAAGAGCTTCAGCCGGCGAAGCTTTCCCCAGCAAGGCCAGGCGGAGGTGGGGAGAGCTCGACCTGCCGAAGTTCTGCCTGACAGAGGCGGCATGTCGACGCGAGGAGCTTCCTCGGCTGCTCTTCCTTTCATTCCCCGGCAGTGGCCTCCGAGGATGAAAGCCCGGCCAGTCCCTGCCTCTGAGGTCCGAGGGAGGTGGGGAATCTCTTCCCCTTGGCCCCAAGACTTGCGCGGCTTGCCTCGCCCTTGCGGGGAGGCGCGTTTGGCCCCTGAAAAGCTGGTTTGGAGGTGTCGTGTCGGTCATGCCTTGGACGAGGCAGAATTGTAAGACTGGGATGTTTTGACCCCCCTCAAATCATCATTCTCCCGGGCCCCGGCCCTTTCCTGCCCAGCCTCTTTCTCCCTCGACTTAGCCGAGAACGAGTGAGAGAGAGACCAACCCCTAACCCCCACCCCGGGTGCCCGAGAAGGCGTCAAGTGAAAGTGAAAGGAAGCTTGAAGGCGAAGAAGCCCCCGAGAGCGTTTGATGCTGCTGCACAAAGCGACCTGCTGGAGCCTCCCGCCTTCCCTCACGGAGAGCTCTGCCAGGGAATCGCCTTCGCGGCCAGGAGTTTTGCCAGCTGGCGCGCCTCCAGCCGCTGACACCCGCCGCTGAACCTCTGCTGCACCGGGCAGGGGGCCAAGGGAAACCTTCCCCAGCAAAACTTGGGCGGCGGCTGCCACCTGGCGGGCAGGCAGAAAGGGGCTCGGCGGCACCTGCAAGTCTAAACAGATATTGCACTTCGTCTAATACAGGAAGGCTCTCAAAATCGTAAGGGGCCCTTGAAATGCAAAAAGTCCGCTCTGTAACGTTTCCAAGCAAAGCCCCTATGTATGCAAGAGAGGCACAAGGACCCTACCTACAGTAGTAACAGGTGATAACATCCTCTCTCTCTCTCTTTGCTGTCAAGCTGCAGCTGCAGGTGACTTATGGCAACCCGTAGGGTTTTCAAGAGTGGTTTGCCCTTGCTGCCTCTGGGTTGGGGGCTTTGGTATCCCTTGGCAGTCTCCCATCCAAATACTGACCAAGGCCAAAGGCCAGCCCTGCTTAGCTTCTGAGATCTGACCAGATCCAGCTACCCTGGCCTACAGTCATCTTAGGTTTGCTCATTTGACTCCTTGGAGGAAAACATTCTCCTGATCGAACCCTAACTGTACCTCTTCAGACTCTCTGTGCATTCAGCTGTTTCACTGGGGAGTCTCCTTTTAAAGTCTTGCTGTTTTTGTAGAATGGTGATTTCCAGGACCAGAGCGGAGGGTTCTGGGAGATGGGAGTGTTCTTCTGCTGTTTTCTGCATGCTTGTTATTTGTTTACAATATTTATAACTTACCTTTCCACCTAAAAGGGCCTCCAAAAGTGGCTTAAAAAGGTAAAGGTTCCCTTGCTCAAAAGCCATTCGAATCCAACTCTAGGGTTGCGGTGCTCATCTCCGTTTCCCAGCCGAAGAGCCAGCGCTGTCCGAAGACGTTTCCGTGGTCATGTGGCCAGCATGACTAAACACCAAGGTGCATGGAATGCTGTTACCTTCCCACTGAAGTGGTACCTATTTATCTACTAGCAATTTCTTTCTTTAGAACTGCTAGGTTGGCAGGAGCTGGAACTAGAGACGGGAACTCACTCCGTCATGCAGCACACTTGGGTCTCGAACTGCTGAACTACCGACCTTCCACAGCCTGCAGTTCAGCGTCTTAACCACTTGAGCCACTGCAGCTCCACAAAAGTGGCTTAGGAACAGCTTAATAAAGCACACTACTTAAACATAGGCTAACCCGTGACTGCTTGCCAAAATGATTGTCCACCCCCAGGGGTCATTTCGTAGAAAAAGAGGTGGGAGCTTGTACCTGAAGGTGGGCTGGGGTAGGGGGGCTCTGCAACTTACCTGGCTGCTTCTTGCTCCTCTTGGCCCAACTGAGGGCTGCTGGGAGCAGGGGCGGGGCTTGTTGCATGTACCCGCCCCCTGGGCTCCTTACTGCCGGAGCTCCGCTCCTGTGCGCTCCTGCAGGAAATGACTCCTGTCCACCTCACTAACACAACAGAATATCCATACCCATTCTACAAAAAGTCATCTAAAAAAAGAATAGTTATGCAGAACCTTCTAATTATTAACCAAGAAGGTAGCCCCATCCCCTCCTCTGGCAGGCTGTTCCAGAGGACAGGGGGGCTACAACTGAGGAGGCAGTGAGGACCATCTTCCTTCCTTCCTATGGAAAGGAACGGTGTTACAGGTGAGAAGAAAAGTTGGCACCGGGGTTCAGCCCAGGAGAGATTGTTTTCTTTTCCGGGTCCAGTTTTTACCAGTTTTTACTTTCTTACCGGTTGTTTGGTGTCGATATCAGGACACAGTTGAGTGTATTTTGGAGGATGGGCAGGTGTTTGAGTCCATGATGGGGTGGTTGACATTGTCTGCACAGTTGATACAGGGACAGAGCTGGCATCTGGATTTGTCTCATGATGCGCTGCCTGGGCTTGTGTCTCTGTTAGGTGGCCCATTGCTGCTGCTTCTGCTGTTTAAATTAGGAGGCTGTTGAATCAGATTCAGACGGCACCTTTCTCTGGAGCTTGATTAGGACAGCCGTATGTTGGATGCTTACCATCCTGGAATCTGTGGCTTTTTATTTACCTGGTGCTCCCCATTCCCATCACGTATCCAAGAATGACAGCAAAGTTTGGTCTGTCTGTGTCTTCACAAGACTCTTCCAAACCACCAGAAGATCAGCGGTGTGAATGTGTTGCAGCCAGAGCTCAGTGGCCCCTTAAAGGTACCAGTGAAAGAGGTGGCTTCATCAGAGACATGAAGGAGTGATGACGGTGGGCCTGGATGGTGCTTGAACCACAGCTTGTTCAGAACACAAGACTCTCACCTTCTGCAGCAGACCAAAAGGCAACCGTTCTGTCTTGGGGGTGAGGGGAGGAGGGCAATCTAAATGCCTCTCACAGTTGAGGTTAGAATGGAGACAAGCATCCCCCTGGCTTCTGAGAGCAGCTGATATCCTTCCCTCTGGGGGGAAAATACTAATTGAAACCCCAAACTGGCAGCACAATCCTATGCAGAGCTACTCCAGGCTAAGCCTGTGGATTTCCCTGAATTTAGATGGGAGTAACTTCACATAGGGTTGCACTGTCAGTCTGGTCCCTTTGCCTCTTCAGTCCAACTCTGTCCCATCCCAAATGAGCTATTCCAACTGTTTTAGGTTACATGGGAAGCAGGTTAATACAAGGGTCAAACCCGTTTGAGACTGAAGAATCTCTCCCCATTTTGGTGTCCTCTCCCTTTCCCCCCTTCAGTTCTTTATTTGGCCACCCTCATTTGTGTCGAACTCCCCCTGCAGCTCCACCCCCCATCTGTCTTCCTTCATTTCCCCTTTTTGAATCCTTATAAATGTCTGCTTTCGGTTTCAAACCTGCTTGTGTGTGTGTGGGGGGGGGACCGTCTCCTTTGGTGGCATGGTTGGAATGTAGTCAGCTTGTTTTGACATAACAGACGGGAGGCAGGGCCACTCCCGCCACCCCCACAAGCCTGCCAGACGCAAACAGCTGTGCCAAGATGGGAACATAAGACAGCCAATGGAGGAAAAGGGAGAGAGACGCTGACCTTTCAGTGCCTTTTATTGGCTCATGTGTGGAATTCTGAACACCCAGCTACAGTTCCCAAGCATTTCAGAAAGCCTTGGAGTGGGCGTCTACATGGAAAGCCTAGCAGGGTCCAACGAGACAAGCACGGGACAAACACACGCCTCTCCTCTTCAAGGGAGTGCTGAAGGGGACTCTGGTGAGGCCCAGCTTCATCCTGTCTCCGATGGTCTGCAATGCAAAGGCAACAAGGAGACTGGACAGGCTTGCTAATGGTTACCCCCAACACCACTGGCAGCGGGGATGTCCTCCTCTTCCCCTGTGCAGCTCCCGCCCGTTTCATTGGGACTTGTGCAGGAGGTCGTCCCTATCCAACGTTGCCTCGCCACGCCTCAGGGCCGAATGCACAGCAAGGCCTTTTGTTTGTCTTGTCTGGCAGAGATTTCAGTGTGTTAAACTACACCTCACACAGAAAAAAAAGTTATGTTGGCCTATCCTTACCTGCTGAGGCTTTTCCATCTCAGCTACGCTGAGTGGAAGATTTAATTAAATTGCTCAGGGAGCATGACGATTAATGAGCTCTGAAAGTAATGCAAAAGGCAGCAGGCATCACAAGGGGAGGCTGAGCCACATGGTCAATTCCTACCTCACGTCTTGCCTCTCTTCCCCTAAGAACACATTCACCGTTCCCAGCCAGCTCATTTCAGATCCCTGCATTTTGCTACTCTGCAACCCTGCGTGCACTCCCCCACCCCCTTAACCATTTAGATTTTCTCTGGATCGCTAATCTGTCTGAGTCTGAATCTGGGCAAAAGGGAACCTGTTTTAGTCAGGCATAAAATATTTGGGTCCTCCTTTGGTCAGAAGAAAACTGGGTGTATAAATATTTTACATACATCATTCTCCCAGCATCCTCAGTGGCTTCACCAGGCAATTACCTGGGCAACCCTGGAAGGCACTGAAGAGAGTTGTGGAAAGTCTCTTACTGTTATCA